TCATCGTGTCCAGCTTTGATTAAGAAATATTTGTTTATGGCCAGGCACGGTGGCTCATGCCTGTAATCCCAGCACTTTGGGGGGCCAAGGCGGGCAGATCACCTGAGGTCAGGAGTTCGAGACCAGCCTGGCCAACATGGTGAAACCCCGTCTCTACTAAAAATACAGAAATTAGCCGGGCATGGTGGCGGGCACCTGTATTCCCAGCTACTCTGGAGGCTGAGGCAGGAGAATCAGTCGCTTGAAGCTGGGAGGTGGTGGTTGCAGTGAGCTGAGATCACGCCACTGCACTCCAGCCTGGGTGACAGAGTGAGACTCTGTCTCAAGAAAAAGAAAAGAAAAGAAAAGAAGTATCTGTTTAATTATGCTAAGTAAAATAAGCCAGTCACAGAAGGACAAATACTGTACCATCCCACTTATGTGAGGTACCTAGAATAGGCAAATAAATACACAGAGACATAAAGTAAAAGAGAGATTGCCAGGGGATAAGGGGTAGAGGAGAAGTTCTTCTTTAGTGAGTACATAGTTTATGTTGGGGATGATGAAAAAGTTTTGGGTACAGATGGTGGTGATGGTTGCACAACATTATGAATGTATTTAATGCCACTGAATTTGTACATTTACAGCTGGTTAAAATGATAACTATTATGTATGCTTTATCACAATTTTTAAAAAGGTCACAAAAAAGAAGTATTTGTTTAAATAGTTTTTCTTTGTAGATTGCAAGCTTGTGGGAATGGGGAAAGAGCATGATCTTTTCATCTTTACACAAGCACAGTGCTCAACATGAGATAATCGCTCACTATTGCTTCAGTTCAGGACTGGAAATCAATGGAAAGGAAGCACAGTTAACACAAGGTTTCCCTATATCTTTTAGAAGGTTTTGAAATTTCATTTTAATGTCAAATCAGTTTTATCAGAGGGAATCCTGATTAGTTGCAATTGTTTGTTTGGGGATATTCACTGGCTTTAAAAGAAAACAAAAAATGATATTAAAAGTCATCCAAAATGACTATTTTCTTAGCTTTCTGCATTTATACAATGGGTAGCATTTTAACAAAATCAATTTGAGTAATAATAACTTATATTTATATAACACTTAGCAGCTTTTTCAGAGAGTTTTCATAGCTTGCACCATTTGAAGCCACAGAAAGCGTCAACTTCTTGTTTTTTTGTTTTGTTTAATTTTTTGTTTTTTTTTTTTTTTTTTTTGAGACGGAGTCTTGCTCTGTCACCCAGGCTGGAGTGCAGTGGCACAATCTCAGCTCACTGCAGCCTACACCTCCCGGATTCAAGCGATTCTCCTGCCTCAGCCTCCTGAGTAGCTGGGACTACAGGCATGTGCCACCATGCCTGGCTAATCTTCTATTTTTCATAGAGACAGGATTTCTCCAGGTTGGCCAGGATGGTCTCGATCTCCTGACCTTACGATCCACCTGCCTCAGCCTCCCAAGGTGCTGGGATTACAGGCGTGAGCCACCGCACCCGGCTGAACTTCTTGTATACTATAACTGAGCAACTATTTTTCCTGCTCCTTGAGTTCTAGATTCTTGCATAAATTTAAGGGTGTACTTTAAGCATTAATCTTAACCATTTCAGTTCATATTATTGTAACCGCTCAAGGGATTCTTCCTACCTGCTGCACAAAGAAAGCCCATGGCATTGCAACCGCTGCCTGGACAGAATCCATTTACCAAGACGGGGGAATTGCAATGGAGAAAGAGTCCACTGTGTGGGAGACCGGAGTTTTATTATTACTCAAATCAGTCTCCACGAGCATCCAGGGATCAGAGTTTTAAAGATAATTTCGCGGGTAAGGGCTTGAGAAGTGGGGAGGGCTGATTGCTCAGGTTGGAGATGGAATTATAGGGGGTCGAAGTGAGGTTTTCTTGCTGTCTCTTGTTCCTGGGTGGGATGGCAGAACTGATTGAGCCAGATTACGGGTCTGGGTGGTGTCAGCTGATCCATCAAGTGCAGGGTCTGCAAAATATCTCAAGCATTGATCTTAGGTTTTACAATAGTGATGTTATCCCAAGGAGCAATTTGGGGAGGTTCAAACTCTTGGAGCCAGAGGCTGCACAACCCCTAAACTGTAATTTCTAACCACTAGCTTAAGTTGTTAGTCCTGCAAAGGCAGACTCGTCCCCAGGCAAGAAGGGGATCTTTTTGGGAAAGGGCTGCTATCAATTTTGTTTCAGAGTCAAGCCATGAACTGAATTCCTTCCCAAAGTTAGTTCGGCCTACATCCAGGAATGAACGAGGACAGCTTAAAGGTTAGAAGCAAGATGGAGTTGATTAGGTCTGATTTTATTCACTGTCATAATTTCCTCAGTGATAATTTTGCAAAGGCGGTTTCAGCATTATAGTAAAGAAAGAGTTTAAGTAGACACAAGGCCGGCCACACCATGTGGGAGATGGAATTAGTAGTGAAATAATCTCCGCCAAAGCTCATAGGTTAGGAGTTTTTCAAAAGCAGTTTAGGGGGATGGGTGGAGGTGGCTAGGCTTGCTGCTGATTGTTTGAGGAGGAGATGAAATCAGTGTCCTTTGATTTCAAAAATACAATGAGGGATAAATTGATAGGATGTCTGGGAATTTGCTTCAAAATAAACTGGGGAGGAAAAGTAGCGGGGGGGTAGGAGAAGTATAAATAAAACTTGATTGGCCATGAACAGATGGTTGAAATGGAATATTGGGTACGTAGGTGGTTTTATTATAGTGTTCTTACTATACTAGTATAAAATTGAAGTTTTCCGTAATAAAGTTTTTCTTTGTTAAGAAAAACAAAGCAGAGTGAGATTCTAAATTGAAGTTGCCAGTGGCCTATTGTTCTTTTAAGTATGCTCAGTTAATTCAGTTAAGGAAGTTATTTGAAAACAGGGTGCTAATGTGCGTCTTCTTTTTCTGGGGTATAGTGTCTCACCCCGAGAAGATTAATGACTGGAACACACACATGGAGTTGAGGAGAGGAAAGTTTAATAGGCAGAAGAAAGGAGAGAGGAGAGCAACTCTCTCTCTTGCGAGAGAGGCGTCCAAAAAAGGGACAAGTGGCGGACTGCAGCAGATTTTATAGGCAGGCGTGAGGAGGCGGTGTCTGATTTACATAGGGGCCACAGATTAGTTCCACCAGATGTGACATTTACATAGCATGTGGGAAGGCTGATCGTCCCACCCTAATCTTATTTTGTAGAGGGGCTTTCTACTTGGCCAGTGCCATCTTGTCTGCTCCTTATTGTACACTTGGCTGGCAAAGAGAAGATGGAGCCGCCATTTTGAAAGTGCCTAGTCCTAGGTAGTATTTTTCTATTGGCACAACTGCCAGCATTCGCCTGTGCAAGCTTCCAGCTTGCTTGTCTATGTCTGCAGCTCAATTTTACAGGCTTCTCTTTGTTAGAAAAGAAAATGATTTGGGGGCTGCTTTTTATTAAAAGGAAAACCTTACTGAGGACTCCCATACCCTCACTATCTGCCTAAGTAATTTCTTCTCAACTCCTATATCACTATTATTTAGCTCAAGGCACTGTCAAGATAATCCCTTGAAAGTTTATTACCAGTCCATGTTTTAAATCCTGAGTCAAACATTTGCGTCTCTTAAATAAGGTCCATTTTTACATACATGCTCCCTTCAAAAATGTATATACACAAATACACACATAAAACTATAACCTGGCCAGATGCAGTAGCTCACACCTGTAATCCCAGCACTTTACGAGGCCCTTAAGCAGGAGGATTGCTTGAATCCAGGAGTTTGAGACCAACCCAGGTAATATAGTGAGACCCACCCCCCCATCTCTAAAAAAAATAAACAAAATTAACCAGGGATAGCCAGATGCAGTGGCTCACAGCTGTAATCCCAGCACTTTGGGAGGCTGAGGTTGGAGGATCACTTGAGGTCATGAGTTCAAGACCAGCCTGGCCAACATGGTGAAACCCTGTCTCAATGAAAAGTACAAAAAAGAGCATCTGCACAGGCCGGAGGGAAAGAAAGGAGTTGGAAGAACTGAAGCCCACGTAGCTGGTGGGCAGGCAGGAGTGCAAATGGATGTGAGGCCGAGATCTTAGCAGGGCCAGAGCACATGGCCTTGCAGCCACACCACAGTCATGGTTGCACAAATGGTGTCCTGAACAGCTGTTTGAATGTGTCTCAAGTACTCAGACTAAACACTTCTAAATCGGTAGTGGAATGAATGTGTAACCAAGAAAAATTGATTTTTTTTTCAGAATTTCAGAATGGAATAGGGATAGTTTTCAGGGAAAATGGATGAAGCAGTGCTGTGGTGGGGAAAGTGTTCAAAGTTAATATTACCATAATTTCAGAACACCATAGTGAATACCTTGGAAAGCATCATCTTCTGAGACTTTGACTGTGACCATGTGAAAGGTGGAGAGAGAATTCAGGATTAACTGTCTGTTTTCCCATGTTCAAGGGCCATTGTGTTACACCAAAAATTGGCAAAGAGTCATAGATTATATTTAAGCTCAGATTTCAAAACTGCCCATGACTATTTTGGCAGGATGTATCATGGGTTTTGTTTTGTTTTTGTAAGCAATCTTGATACAGATGTTTGTTTTTAGTCAGACAGCCTGGAGGGAGCTTTAATGTTGGGGTTCTTCGTACATGTAAATACCATGCTGGATAATTAATTGGGATTTCCTGGAGCAATGTTTTTTTTTTTTTTTTAATTTTAAGAAACTGTACTGTAAACAGTTTTTTCATTCTTGTGGCTAAAGAGAAGCTTTTCTCTGGACTTCTAATATTTGCCAACCCTGAGGGAAACGCAAAGCATGTGAGTCAGGCCTCAGGACCCTCCCTGCCCTCCACTGAGGGGACCAATGAGTTTGAGGAACAAGAGTGGATAAACCGTTAACTCTCATCTGCCCTCCCTCCCTCCACTTCAGGGTGTGTACTCCTAGTCTGAATATTGTCCTACTTAGAGGTTTCTCCATGATCTTAAGTCTCTGTTGTTTACAGCTTTCCCTCCTCTGCCCTCATCCCTCTAGGTTATTAGGTTCCTGCAACTTAACTGGGAACTGATCAAGATTTCAAGCTAAGATGGTGGTGATGAACAGCCTAAGGGTCATTCTTCAAGCATCTCCAGGCAAATTGCTGTGGAGAAAGTTCCAGATTCCGAGATTCATGCCAACGAGGCCCTGCAGCCTCTATACTTGTACTTACAAAACCCGGAACCGAGCCTGTGAGTACACCACTTCCTTAAAGAGAACAAAAAGGGCTCCAGCCTGAGTAACAGAGCGAAATCTCATCTCTTAGAAAAAAAGAAAAGAGGGAGCAAGTGTGCAAGAGCAAAAATACTTGTCTTTAAAATAATCACACATGTTAAACATTTGCAGCTATGCTGTCTTTGGCTTTTCAGTGTAGGATTATATGCCTTATGAACTGTGAGAATAGCTGTTTCTCTATTGATTCATGAAAGTAAATGTAGAATATTCTTTCTTGACTAATTTTAGCATGTTAAAATGATGTCATGCAGAAACTGGACAAGAGACAGATCCCAGTTTTTAATATTTTGGAACCCATTGTTTATTATTTCTTGGTAGCAATTGTCTTTTTTTTCTTCTTCTTCTTTTAAACAGAGTTTGATCCACAAACCACAAATTATTTCTGGGAACCTTACATTTCTGGAAGTTGCATGTACATGTTTGTAAGCAGTTTACTAGCTTCAACGTTCTGGAATATTCTGTCCTGAGTTAGGAATTACAAAGTTAATTCTAGCTGTTCAGTTTGCAAGTGTGTGCTCTGCTGTAAGGATGGAAGATTGAGTGAGGCAGGAAATGGTCTTCCTCACACCTCTCTCATCTCGTTCCCCTTCTGGAAATACAAGGCATTGTCCATGTCCGGATGTGGCAGGGATTCTCCACTGCGGCGTGATGGACATTGAGGATGGATCATTGTGTGTTGTGGGAGGTTGTCCTGTGTCCTGGAGGGTCTTTACAACATTCCTGGCCTCTGCCTACTAGTTGCTAGTAGCACCCTCATGAAGCTATAACAACCAAAACTGTCTGCAGATTGCCAAACATGCTCTGCATTACTGCCCTGGAGAGGGCAGTTGAGAGGATGGGAAAGGATAATGTGTGTATTTGTGGACAGATAACTTTGAGTTAATGGAGATATGAAATGGCTAAGTATTATCATTAAGGAGGAATTTTTCATGTTTTCCGTTACTTAAAAAACACAGGCACAGAGTTTTCAAATGTTGGGTTGCACTGAGGTCTAGGTTTCTCCATATGGGGTCTCCACTTTGACCCCATATGCACATAATAAAAAGACTGGGTAAGAATGGAATGCTTGTAAATTAGTAGTGCTAATCTAGCTACATACAAGGGCTTGAAACTGCTCCACAAATATATTTTCACTGTAAGTTTATTTTGTTTCCTTCAACATTGACTGTGTTCTTTTTCAAATAAACGGGCCAGAGGCATAATAAATTTCTGGTTGCTAGGTGTGGTTTCCTACAAATATGCCACATCCTACCGAGACTGGCTTATTCTGAACACTGGCACTTTGTGGTCTAGGGTTTATATTGCAAAGTATTAGTAGTTTTGCTGGTTTTTTTTTTTTTTTTTTTTTTTTTGACAGTTGAAATTAAACATCTAAATCCAGTATGCTTATGTAGTTAGGATAGTTTGCTGCTTTTAATGCTGACAAAAGAAACAAACAGTAGTGGCTTCGGGAGGGGCAGCTTTACTTAGTGAATTTCCCACAACAGATGACATGTTTTTGTTTCTAAGTTACTAGGAAAAACAGGGGACAGTCACCATTTGATTTTGTTTGTAGCATATTACACTGTTCCAACCTATTTGCCCCAAGAATAATATTGTGGTCTTTGCTGCTCTGGGCCTTTGAGCAGGTCCTATTTCTATGTTCTGTACCCTCATCTGCTGAATTGTAAAGACAGTTCTCATTGTTTCTCACAGCTCGGTACCCCAACAGTAGGCCAGTATACACTTGTGACCAAGAATGACCCCAGATTCTTGAGGGTTTGAAAAGATAACATGTGTTGATGAAAAAAGCCAAACTCTAAAATATTTGAAGAGGTTCATTCTGAGCCAAATATGAGTGACCGTGGCCCATGATACAGCCTCAAGAAGTCCTGAGAACACATGCCCAAGGTAGTTGGGTTACAGCATGGGGGAGACAGAAGTTACAGGCAAGACATAAATCAATACCTGTAAGGTATACATTGTGAGGGCGAAACTCTGATTTTTTTATCTTGCCCAAATTCCTATCTAAGGGGTCTGGGGAGTCATGCCCCACAAATCACAAATTGTTACCAGATGGGTTTTATTTAACCCATATATCATGATTTACTTTCCAACCTGACTTTGGCGTAACATTACAAGACAAAGAAGAAAATCAAAATATTTTACCCCAAAACATGTTTCTTTGCCATATTTTGAAATTGCCCTGCAAAGCTGTTCTTTGTGGGGGGGGGGGGGGGGGGGAAATTTTTTCTGTAAAAAATCTTTTTTAACATACCTAGATCTTTTTTTTCCAGACCCTCCCAATCCTAAAGAGATTAACTAAGATCTGAATAGGAAATATTTCTCATCTATTGTCTCTAAGGGCAGCCACTATAAGACTTCAAAAGAACTTTGGTCTCCACAATCTTTTTCTTAACCCGAACCATTCCCTTTCTACCAATCCCAAGTCTTTAGACAAATTCAACCAATTGTCAACCAGAAAATGTTTAAATTTACCTATAGCCTAGAAGCCCCCCCAACCCCCACCCCAGCTTTGAACTGTCCCGCCTTTCTGGACCAAACCAGTGTATTTCTTAAATGTATTTGATTGATGTCTCATGCCTCTCTAAAATGTATAAAAACAAGCTGTACCCTGAGCACCTTGGGCACATGTTCTCAGGTCCACATGGGAGCTGTGTCACGGGCCACAGTCACCCATATTTGGCCCAGAATAAATCTCTTCAAATATTTACAGAGTTTGACTCTTTTCGTCAACACTTGGTTTGGCCTGGAAAGGTAAGACATCTCTAAGCAGGGGCTTACAGGTCACAAGTAAGTGGATTCAAAGATTTTCTGTTGGCTGGGCACGGTGGCTCACGCCTGTAATCCCAGCACTTTGGGAGGCCGAGGCGGGCAGATCACAAGGTCAGGAGATCGAGACCATGGTGAAACTCCGTCTCTACTAAAAATACAAAAAATTAGCTGGGCACAGTGGCGGGTGCCTGTAGTCCCAGCTACTCAGGAGGCTGAGGCAGGAGAATGGCGTGAACCCGGGAGGCGGGGCTTGCAGTGAGCCAAGATTGCGCCACTGCACTCCCGCCTGGGCGACAAAAAAACAAAGATTTTCTGTTTGGCTGTTTGGCAGTTGGCTGAAAAAGTTAAGCTTTGCCTAAAGAGTTGAAGTCAACTGAAAGAAATACTTCAGTTAAGATAAGGGGGATTGTAGAAGCCGAGGTTCTTGTTATGTAGATGAAGCCTCCCATTAGCAGGTTTAGAGAGATTAGATGGTAAACATCTCTTATGGGACCTTAAAAGGTGTCAGATCTTTCCTGGATCAGGAAAAGACCTGGAAAGGGACAGGGGCTCTCTACAGAATGCACATTTATCCCACAAGGGATGGCTTTGCAGGGCCATTTCAAAATGTGTCAAAGAAATATATTTTGGGATAAGGCTGGGTGCAGTGACTCACGCCTATAATCCCAGCACTTTGGGAGGCCGAGGCAGGTGGATCACCTGAGGTCAGGAGTTTGAGATAAGCCTGGCCAACATGGTGAAACCCCATCTCTACTAAAAATACAAAAATTAGCCAGGTGTGGTGGTGTGCACCTGTAATCCCAGCTACTCAGGAGACTGAGGCAAAAGAATCACTTGAACCCAGGAGGCGGAGGTTCCGGGTGAGCTGAGATCACGCCATTGCACTCCAGCCTGGGCGACAAGAGTGCAACTCTCTCCCAAAAAATAAATAAATACATAAATAAATAAATTTTGGGGTAAAATACTTTGATTTCTTTCAGAGCCTTCTATCTGTCATGTGATGCTATACCAGGGTCAGGTTGGAGGTAGGTATTTTATTGCTACAAAGATTCTATGTCAGTCTTATGATCTCTATTTGAGTGTTAATGCTGGTCAGTTGTGCCTAAACTCTAAAGGGAGGGAGTATAATGAGGCATGCCCAACCTCTCTTCCCCTCTTGGCCTGAACTAGTTCTTCAGGTTTCTTCGGGATCCCCCTGGCCAGGGTAGGGGGGATCCATTCAGTCCATTGGGGAGCTTAGAATTTCATTTCTGGTTTGCATGTGCAAAGTCCTTAGCTAGTGCTGTCACATAGTGAGGACTCAGTGTTGGGAGCTACTTCTAGTACTACAATTGTTATCATCATCATAGGCTCAGTGCCTGTCTCAGATGTTTAAATCTGACCCTTTTAAGAGGAGGCAAAGCAGAATAAGGAGTGAATGCAAGTAGGAGGTTGTGGCAAATTCGGAAATCAGCATTTCAGATTAGCCCTGTGCTCTGTGCTCATCATATCTTTGCTCCCAAGGCTCTCCACAGATACTCTTTAGCTGTCAACTCAGATTGCTGTTTGCTGTTATCTCAGGTAGCAGACAGTAACTGTTGATAGTCCTAACTTTGGAGACTTGTCATATAATAAGATAAAGATAAAAGCCTATACCTCTTATCCAATGTGGAAATAAAATCAGTTTCCCTTAGGTATCATCTGGTGAAATTTAGTCTAATGGTCACATAAAAAGATTTAGGCATGAGATCTTAGACCATAGGAAAGTGCATTTAATAATTCTTAATTGAATGAAATATAAAGAATATCAGGTAGAATGGAAATGATACTGATTTGTTATTCCAATGATTCATGATCTCCTTACTTGTAGAAGAAAGAGAAACCTGTTAGGATAATAGGGACTAAAGAAGCCAGCACTGTATAAAATGTAGCCACTAACCCCATGTGGGTATTTACATGTAAATTTAAATTCATTAAAATTTTATAGCTACCTATGCCTAGATCTTAATATACTGGACATTTCTATCATCAGAGAAAGTTCTATTTGACAGCAGTAATCTATATCATAACTGTACTGTGTTTGAAAGTTATTCTGTTATTTCTCCAATTAATTTTGAAGAATACAAATAAAGCCTGGAGAGTAATAAAAAGCTTCTTTTGCAGTGTTTTCACAAAGAATTCTGAAATATAGACTCAGGATGCT